ATGATGGGGCACTTGTTATATGCCATCGTAAATTCACTCACTCATTCAATTGTTGAAAATGTCATCGTTGTCCATTGCTCAGCCCTGATAGTTAAGCAGTACCAGTTGATTTACATCTCCACTGAAATCAATGACAAGAACATCACGATCACTGGACGCCTGTCCATACAATATGTTGACAAACACAACTGATCGAAGTATTGACAGGTTACGGCTATGTAGAGCTGCATGACATCCGTGTTGATACTGCTGTCTCACTGCTCTGGTTCTTTCAAAGAGTTGTTCATTTTCCTAGTTTTCACGTTTGTTACTTTTTCTTTCTTCAAGTAATTAGGAATTTGATCCAGAATGCTGTATTATCCAAAATGTCAGGTGATCAGAGCACCGCAGATGTTTATATTTGCACTGGCTTCTGTATTCCAGTGTTTATAGGAAGCAGCTGAGAGAAGGACTGGCGTCAAGGTTGGGAACACATTAAACACAGGCCAGTAAGGGTTTGTTTTGCAGGTAAATTTAAAGTAGCGCGCTATTTAACAAGCACAAGAGCTAATTGGGACGAGTCGCTTTTCCCACCTTGCAGTAGACACAGGACACACAGAAGTCTCGCGCCGCCAGGTGGCGACGATGTAGTAGTACCACACCGCCAGGAGGCGACATGTAGTAGTACCACACCACCAGGTGGCGACATGTAGTAGTGCCACACCACCAGGAGGCGACATGTAGTAGTACCACACCACCAGGAGGCGACATGTAGTAGTGCCACACCACCAGGAGGCGACATGTAGTACCACCAGGGGTGGCACCACACCACCAGGTGGCGACATGTAGTGTAGTAGTACCACACCACCAGGAGGCGACATGTAGTAGTACCACACCACCCAGGAGGCGACATGTAGTAGTACCACACCACCAGGAGGCGACACCAGGTAGTAGTAGTAGTACACCACCAGGAGGCGACATGTAGTAGTACCCACACCACCAGGAGGCGACATGTAGTAGTACCACACCACCAGGAGGCGACATGTAGTAGTACCACACCACCAGGAGGCCACCACCACCAGGAGGCGACATATGTAGTAGTACCACACCACCAGGAGGCGACATGTAGTAGTACCACACCACCAGGAGGCGACATGTAGTAGTGCCACACCACCAGGAGGCGACATGTAGTAGTGCCACACCACCAGGAGGCGACATGTAGTAGTACCCACACCACCAGGAGGCGACACACCACCAGGAGGCGACATGTAGTAGTACCACACCACCAGGAGGCGACATGTAGTAGTGCCACACCACCAGGAGGCGACATGTAGTAGTACCACACCACCAGGAGGCGACATGTAGTAGTGCCACACCACCAGGAGGCGACATGTAGTAGTGCCACACCACCAGGAGGCGACATGTAGTAGTGCCACACCACCAGGAGGCGACATGTAGTAGTACCACACCACCAGGAGGCGACATGTAGTAGTAGCCACACCACCAGGAGGCGACATGTAGTAGTGCCACACCACCAGGAGGCGACATGTAGTAGCCACACCACCAGGAGGCGACCACACCACCAGGAGGCGACATGTAGTAGTGCCACACCACCAGGAGGCGACATGTAGTAGTGCCACACCACCAGGAGGCGACATGTAGTAGTGCCACACCAACAGGTATTTATACTCAACAGCAAAAGAAACGCAAGGTTCGAAAACATGAAATCTCATAAAAGTAAGCGTTCATGTCTATAGAACGTTCATGGTAAAGTGACGTAATGATCCCAGATGACATGATGTCATACAATTTGACGCACAAGCACCCGACAGTGCAGCAAAACCATAATTTTAGCACGTGGATCGACGGTTCTGGATGGAAAGCATGCATTTCACTCTGAGGTATCCTTTATAATGGTTTGTGTAAAAAAACAGTTCAGTATTGACGCTAGGAGGTGCACATGCCAAACAAACGATGCGTAGACTAACGACTGAGAGGAGGGGCATGGCCACTTGAAAGTTGCACGGAGGTAGCTCTGCAATTGGGCTGTCATCTTACCACTATTACACGACTTGCTCAACGTCATCAACAAAGCGGGTTGCTGCTGATCGTCCCCGTACCGGACGGCAACGAGTGACAACTCATACGCAAGATCGGTTCATCCGGGCAACTCATCTAAGGAACCGAACTCAAGCAGCAACAGTAACAGCAGCCTTAGTTCATGGGTCAAGGGGAGCAGTGTCCAGCGATACGACTAGGCGTCGTCTTCGAGCTGTTGGAATCCACTGCCGACGGCCATATGTGGGGCCAATTTTGACACGTCAACAACGCCAGCGACGTTTACAGCCCTCACACAGCAAAGGTGTCGATGGATTATCTGGCTCAGAACAACATTAACTGTCAGTTCACCTGATGAAGGGACCTGGAATGGTCTCGAAACGTCGTGAGGGAAATTATAAAGAAGTTTAATCCATAAAAATATCTTGGACAACATTAACGTTCTTGCATGGCCGTCTCTTTGCGCGGATATGGCTCCCATTGAACATTCTGGGACGAAATTGGACGTAGGTTTGCTGCAGGAAGACAGCCACTCACACTTGCACAGTTGGAACAGAGACTGGTGTTTGAGTGTTTCCATCCATTCTTTCAGACTTTAGTGAACTCAATGAGCTGAGGTTGCACGGCCTGTGTGCAAACAAGGTGGCTATACGTGCTCTTAAAGAGACTGTCACTTTTCAGTGGTATCTCCATTTGACGGACTGTAATCAATTTGAACTTATTGCAATTCAATGTCAACAGCAACTTTCAGCTGTTGAATTAACAGTGTTTTCTACAGAATAAATGATTAGACCTAATTTTGGTTGTCTTCTATTGAACAATTTGACAAAAAGCTAGACTTGCGTTTCTTTTGCTGTTCAGTATATATATCCGCCGCTATCGACTGACTGGTTGTGGGATCCACTTGAAGTCAGTGCATTCGTGCTGCCTCATGGCCAGCCAATAAATAACAACAGTGTCAGCTCCGGGGTGGGGTACTTCCCAACTTCGTGACGTCCCCCGGCGCTTTCCTCAACATGATCGCCATGTCAGTCTCATCTACATTTACATGTCATGCCCTCATCGCTTAGTCGTGATAGCATGGCATGTCTGACTGACTGACGTGAACAACACAGACACCAGCAATGTCTATAGGCAGTACCGAATGGCCGTGTGAGGGCAGGCGAGGACCTGGAGCAGGACACATCTGTTGTCGACAACTGTGAATGCTGACAGTGACAGAGTACACGAGGTCCAAGACGTTCATCTTGTGGTTAGCGTAACATTGGTGACAAGTTTATTGATTTCCGATGTTGGTCCGATGTGTATAACATAGGTGTGCCTAACAGTGTTGTTATCATGATGTTGGTCTGTCCGGTGTTATCACTGTGTTAGTGTGTCCGATGACAGTGTTATCACGGTGTTAGTGTGCCCGATGATGGTGTTATCACGGTGTTAGTGTGTCCGATGATGGTGTTATCATGATACTGGTCTGCCCGGTGATGGTGTTATCACGGTGTTGGCGTGCACGGTGTTGGTGTGTTGCCCGATGATGGTGTTATCACGGTGTTAGTGTGTCCGATGATAGTGTTATCATGATGCTGGTCTGCCCGGTGATGGAGTTATCACGGTGTTGGCGTGCCCGATGATGGTGTTATCACGGTGTTAGTGTGCCCGATGATGGTGTTATCACGGTGTTGGTGTGCCCGATGATGGTGTTATCATGATGTGGTGTGCCCGATGATGGTGTTATCACGGTGTTAGTCTGCCCGATGATGGTGTTATCACGGTGTTGGTGTGCCCGATGATGGTGTTATCACGATGTTGGGTGCCCGATGATGGTGTTATGTCTGCCCGATGATGGTGTTATCACGTGCGTGAGTGTGTTGGTGTGCCCGATGATGGTGTTATCACGGTGTTAGTCTGCCCGATGATGGTGTTATCACGGTGTTAGTGTGCCCGATGATGGTGTTATCACGGTGTTAGTCTGCCCGATGATGGTGTTATCACGGTGTTAGTGTGCCCACGGTGTTGCCCGATGATGGTGTTATCATGGTGTTAGTCTGCCCGATGATGGTGTTATGTTATCACGGTGTTAGTGTGCCCGATGATGGTGTTATCATGCGGTGTTATGTTAGTCTGCCGATGATGGTGTTATCACGGTGTTGTTCTGCCCGATGATGGTGTTATCACGGTGTTAGTCTGCCCGATGATGGTGTTATAATGCCCGATGATTGTGTTATCACGGTGTTAGTCTGCCCGATGATGGTGTTATGTGTTAGTCTGCCCGATGATGGTGTTGCCCGATGTTAGTCTGCCCGATGATGGTGTTATCACGGTGTTAGTGTGCCCGATGATGGTGTTATCACGATGTTGCCCGATGATGGTGTTATCACGGTGTTGGCATGCCCGATGATGGTGTTATCATGATGTGGTGTGCCCGATGATGGTGTTATCACGGTGTTGGCGTGCCCGATGATGGTGTTATCATGATGTGGTGTGCCTGCTGATAGTGTTATCATGGTGTTGGTGTACCCGCTGATGGTGTTATCATGATGTGGTGTGCCCGCTGATGGTGTTATCATGGTGTTGGTGTGCCCGCTGATGGTGTTATCATGGTGTTAGTGTGCCCGATGATGGTGTTATCATGGTGTTAGTCTGCCCGATGATGGTGTTATCACAGTGTTAGTCTGCCCGATGACAGTGTTATCACGGTGTTAGTGTGCCCGATGATGGTGTTATCATGATGCTGGTCTGCCCGTTGATGCTGTTATCACGGTGTTGGCGTGCCCGATGATGGTGTTATCATGATGTGGTGTGCCCGATGATGGTGTTATCACGGTGTTGGCGTGCCCGATGATGGTGTTATCATGATGTGGTGTGCCCGATGATAGTGTTATCACGATGTAAGTGTCCGATAGTGTTGTTATCACGGTGTTGGTGTGTGAGATAATGTTGTTTTCACTCAGATAGTGTTGTTATACTTATATATTCAATAATACTTTATTCATGACAGTAAATAAATAAGTTAGGATTTACACAGCCGGAGACATTGGAGACATTCATTGTATACAGTATCAACAAAGGCATGGAATAACGTGACCTCGCGGCCCGGCAGTCGACCTTTAAAGCAAGTCCCACCTGACCAGTAACGCAGATGAGCCCATGGTGAATAACACGCAAGTGGAAGACAAGTGTGGTAATTGTACACAATATGGCCATGCACACATCTAACAAAGTGCCCATTTACGTCAATACTTGGACTTTGGTACGAACAGTCATAGTTTGTTATAAATCGATAAAATGTGCCGTTTGATGTCCACCCTGTGCAACCCACAGTTTGGCCCATTAGTGTGGGCTTGCCAACCCGCGAGCTGCCGTCACCATCACTGCTCTGCTGCACTGCCAAACTGTGACAGGGTTGACAGGGGATTGTGTCAGGTGCACTCGCTGACGACACATTATGTACTTGAAAACAATGTCACATATAATAGGTCGCATATGAATCACACATCCAATCGTAACACACATCTTTGGTTTGGTATTTAAATTGTTCATTTTCACTCATGTTCACACAACCCCTCTATTCGTTCAGTGCCCTGGTGGAAGTTCTTTGATTTCACAGTTGCCCTAGCACCTCATCCGTCCCCTTGACAGGGGTGGCACACGGCGGGGTCAGATGTCCAAGGTATGCGGTTCATGTGTCTACTGGTTATGGATATCATTCCTGCAGTACCCGTCCAACATGGCAAAACAAGCGTTTGTGGATACTTACAAGAACACAAACCTGAGAGGATGACCTTCACCTTCAAACCTGGCATGTTTGACAAGAAGGCAATTGGCCACCAGAAACACGCGAAGCACCGGGATTTATGCATTGAGTTGACTGGAATCTCACGTTTGAATTGGCGATATTTTCCCGCTGGAGGACGGTATCATCTTTAATATTTCAAGAGCTTCGTTGTATGTCGGGGGCGGTGTCGTGACATTCGGATCATTGTAACTGAATAAGTCGTGCAGTGATACATGCATCCCTCGGAAGCGTCTGGGTCCAAACGTTGTCTCAACTTCGATGTCTATCCTGTCCATTGCCGGGTTATCCACACCCGATGACCTGATTGGACGGTCTTCTATGATCTCACCGGATATGGTAGAAATAGACAAATCTGATTGGCTCTCCACACTGGAAATGGACACCCGGCTGTGAGGGTTGCTGCTGTCATCCAGGAGGCCCGTCGTACTGTCGTATCTCTCTAACATTCCACTTTCTCCGAACAGTTGCTCGTAGGTGGGTGGTGGCTCCAGGTAACGTGAGGGAGTGGCGCTGTCTGCACTTGTCGTACCCGGCGACGCGTTTTCCTGTCTGAGACGCTCTGCCTTCGCCCTTTTCAGCTGGACAATAAGCACACAGATGAGCGGCACGATGACAGAGAGACCGGCAGCCATTGCGATGAACCCTCCATCGTACACGGGGACGTCATCGTCATCTGGAATAGATATCATGAAATGTTAGAGCGCCTCAGGATCACAAACGTTTAAATCAAAATGAGGACTTGATTACATACGTATGTCTTGAGTCAACACTTCCGTAGGAATTTTCATTTTATAACATCGCTGCCGGTATTCGCATAATACCTGATTGCGTTTTTACTTCAAATATCTTTTCCATTGAGGATTAAAGTTAACACCTACATCACTCAAATTGTACCATGTAAAATTCCGAATAGTTCACCGTAGGGCAGATATGACACATTGAATTTGTAAGACATAAACGTGCAGATTCCTGGAAATGCTAGATGGCGTTATTGAAAACAGGTCGGACATAAACCCGGGTCACTATGTGCCTGCCTCCAGAACTAATTCCGCTAGCACGAACGACAAAGCGGCCTACAGACTCCGACACATGATGAGTAGATGTTGCATCTTCTAACCTAACACTAGTAACACTAGGCAGTAGGGCACGCTACTGCGTTGGGAGGAGCTCTCGGTATGACGTGATCACCAAGACATTAAGGTGACCTCGAAACCAATAATGTGACGCCATTGTATGATGCATCGCCTGAATGGTTGACCTGTAAACTGACGTTTAACACTAATGTATGTGTAATCTCTAGACTTAATGTGTTGAACATTAAAAAGATGAACATCTAGATTTCTCAGATGCGTCATCCCCGAAGGCCGACAATCTCACTCTCTGTGTGTGACCATAACGTCTGTCCTGTAATCTCAACGTCTTCTACGTAATCACGTTGTTCAACGTGTAATATATGGTTGATGTGTAATGTCAAGGTTTGTTGTGTAGGTTTCGATGTCTGACACAGCCATATACAGAGGGAGGGGACACGCATCTACTTCATCAACACGTGCAGGGAGCCCACGCATCTCTTTCAACAACAACACCCCAGTAATTGTTTAAGTAACAGTCTGGGGTTTTATCGTGACAAGGAATGCTTTCTGTGACCCAGTAATTATATCAACAGGCGCAATCCATATTCATATTCAGAGGCCGATTTTCATCTAATTGTACTCTGAGTATTTGTTCTTTCCACCAGCTTTCCACTTCAGATAGATAGAGAATCTCATCCGACTGTCTGTTGATATTATCAGTACGAGTTGATAAAGTTACAAATATCCGAGGCTTGCCGAGTGTTGATATATTTGATATCAGAAGACACCAGGGTGAGATTCTATTTATCATCAAAACTCACTCTTCTTTAGCTTTCAGTGAAAAATGTACATCTCTGAACACAGTACTGCCATTAGATTAGCAGTGCAGCGATGTCATAGCATTGTGACGTCATCAAGTTCATGACGTCATAGCATTGTTTGGGCATCGTACAAAATCTACTGTCAAAACGATATCTCCTAGGAGATATCGTTTGATCTCACACAAGCAACATCTCCTGTGGAACACAGTTTGGGATGATAAATTACTTTTCACTTTCAGTGATCTCAGGTTTATGTACCCCCATCACACCCCAACAGCACATAACCCTACAAAGTAACGATGGATCTGACAGAACTAAGGGTGGGATATACTGTAGCGTGAATCAGCCCCACTGAAAACACAATCTGATCTACGATTATGCGTCACGCAAGCACGCACCTGCCTTTACCTATGCCTGTCACTGTACACAGTACTTGCACTTGTACAAATGTATTGATCCAGGATCTATTTTACTTGTTACAATTCTCGTTTCCTTTCTAACACTTTACAGCAACTATTCCGCGCCATCAGTGTAACGTTGTACATCACACACTAAAGTCGGCCATGTGTAAATATATGTATTGTGACTATAAAACCCACTTTTCCAGGGACATGGTCCTAAAAGAATAATAAATCGTATATTTCGCATTATTGATCGTAGTTGCCATGACAACAGTTGCCACAGATGTTCAACAGTGTAATAAAATTCTCAATGCCGACAGTCTGTGCTTGTTCCTAGTTATATTATTGCAGTGGTTGTTGGTAGTCATATCATTACATTTGGCATGTCGTTAACCATTAGAGTGACATAGGGCTCCGGTTACAGATAGCTCTGGCAAGTACAGCTGAAGTCCTTCAGCCTTCATGATGGAGATCATTCTAGCAGTTATTTGTAAGCCTATTCGCACTGGGAAATGTTTTAGTTACACAAAACAGGGATAATCTACATCGTCTTCTATTCTCCCTGCACAAAACAAAAGCCAGGAAATGGTTAGGTGAACTTGCGGTCTCTCTTACAGCAATGTTGTAACATGCTTCAATCACAATACTGGTGTGGGTGCACTCTGATGACATGCCCCAGACATTAGGCAGGACACTGTGTGACGAGTTGGTTATAAGAGTACAGGTGCTAGGTACTACTCACCTTGGCATAAGTATCGGATCTCATAGTCACTACAGAAAACTGTCCCCGGCTGGTCGCGGTCCCGACACACCAGACCAGTGGCGTTACAGGGAACGTGAAGGATATTGCCGGAGAACGTCCATCTGTTCTTGAAGGTGAAGGCCGTCCCCACCGCTCGACACTCCGCCTCTGCTACTGACCCGCTCGGACACAGGGTCTCGTATGTCTGTTGGGAAATATACTCATTAAATAATCACATAGTTTTGTACATGTAAATGTGCCAGGTAATCGTCTGGGGCTGCTGCCGGGACAGGAAGAGGTACATATTGTCTACATATAGTCTAGCCAGCCCGATGGTCTGGTGAAAATTTTAAATGTTTCGTACATCTGAGTAAATTCACCATATCTTGGTGTCTGGTCTGGTTAAATCCATTTTGGACTGGTAACATTTTGAAGTTACCAGCCCTGATGTCTTGCTGGGTTTTTGGCGTATTTCATACACTGATAGTAGATCTGTTTCTCGCATCTGTATATATGCTCCAACTACAACTCATTACGTCCTCAACACCATTAACGTATACAGAATATGTCCAATGTCAGCTTAATTAAAATAACATGGCTGTGTATGGTTGTTACAACCATCCATCGTACGGTTTGTCATCGTCAATAGAGACGTGGTGTAAGCCTCATTCCGGACTCTGCATACTTGCATCTGTATTGCCAAGAGAAATATATAGGACTACAAATACAGGTTCTCATTTAAAACACAATCGTAGTGGAACTGCATCTGAGCGTACACAACTAAGCAGGCTGGTCCGAACATGTCTACATTAAACATCACACACAGGAGCGAAACTGTCACACAATCCCTCAACATCATTATACACATGGGCGACAACCCGGGCGTTATGTCCTTCTAACTACACGTACAACTACACTTACTACACGTCACAATTACACTAACTACACGTCACAAATTACACTTATAGTACAACCAGAAATTATTGTAAATATTATTGTAAAATTGTAAATTTGTATATTTTTTTACTCATTACTCACGTATTAATGTGAATATTAGCAAAACATAACTCCAGATTCAAAGACAGGTGAACAGTTAGTATTTTGTCAAGTCACCAAGGGCAGCAATGCAGGCTTCAATGCGGCGGGGCATACTACTGATCAAAGAAGTTAGAAAGTCGTGGTCCATGCTGTCCCAATATCGGACCCCCTCTTCTTTCATTTCAGCAATATTTGTCAGATCTTTCTAATTGACACTTTCCTTCATAAGTCCCCAAACATTTTCATTTGGATTTAGGTCAGGGCTATAGCTTGGCCAATCTAATAATGTCATATTTTGGGTCCGAAACCAGGCCTGTGAATGCTTTGAACGATGTTTTGGGTCGTTGTCCTGCTGGAAAATCCAAAAATTTCCATAGAACACGTGAGCAGATGGAAGTAAATGTCCCTCGAGAATATCTGTGTACCGCTCACTGTTCATATTCCCTTCAAATACACAGTTGCCCCTAACACAGATATGCCACCCAAAACGTTAAATTTCGGACTGTACTTTGGGCGCTGATACAAAGGTTTTTCAGTTTGTTTGGTCCAGAATTTCAGTGTATTAGGAAACAGCCACACAGAACTTTCATCTGAGAAAATCACATTGTCCCAGTTAAAATTTCTATGATGTAAGCACCAGTTCAACCTTCTCTCCTTTTGTTCAGGTTTCATGATCGGTGATGGAATTCCTCGACTTTTCTGCATGCAGCTCAGTTCTAATTGTCTCCTTACAGACAGCCACAGTTCCTCTATCAATCCTATCCAGCCTTACGTTTTCTAAACTCCTTCGTTTCTTTTTAGAAACAAGAATACCAAGCCGCCTCCTGTCACCGACAGTCAATTTTCTGTCCCTACCTGCGCCTCCCTGGTGCTCAATGCCATATCCATTTGCAATATTTTTAAAACACGATAAACAGTGGACAAAGGGATGCCTGTTCTACTTGAAATCGCTTTAACTGATCTGATGTCCTTGTTATAATACTCTAAAATCAACTTCCTCATCTCTAAATCATCCATACTGAGGATCACTGAAAATGTCGTCTGCTAACAAGTAAACAAAGGGGGGTAACTCTTCACAAACTAATGAAAAAGGATTAACGGAGTTGTCTCTCTTGAATGAAACCAAGCACTTGATAGCTGGTCAAGGTTGTTTATACTAGAAATCCAATTAAACTTATTCCTAAAACTCTCTATAATTTCTGGTCATACTATACTATACGTCACAATTACACTAACTACACGTCACAATTACACTAACTACACGTCACAATTACACTTTCTACACGTCACAATTACACTAACTACACGTCACAATTACACTAACTACACGTCACAATTACACTAACTACACGTCACAATTACACTAACTACACGTCACAATTACACTAACTACACGTCACAATTACACTAACTACACGTCACTATTACACTTACTACACGTCACAATTACACTAACTACACGTCACAATTACACTAACTACACGTCACAATTACACTTACTGCACGTCACAATTACAATTACACTAGCTACACGTCACAATTACACTAACTACACGTCACAATTACACTTACTACACGTCACTATTACACTAACTACACGTCACAATTACACTTACTACACGTCACAATTACACTTACTACACGTCACAATTACACTAACTACACGTCACTATTACACTAACTACACGTCACAATTACACTAAGTACTCGTCACTATTACACTAACTACACGTCCGAATCGATGTGTTTGTCATGAGAGGCAGCTAAATGACTGGACGGCTTGATTTCTAAAGCGGGATTGTGATCATATTAATTTCTGGCTAAATACGCGTCTTATGGGTGAAAGTTTGCTGACAACATCCAAATAATGCATGATTGTTAACAGGTTTTTATACAAAAAGAAGATCCGTAGTGAAATATTTGACAGAGTAGTATATGCTGGGTGCTGCGTAGAGGTTGCACTGTATATCTATACTACCCATCAAAAGTTTAGACTCACTAGTGTAAATTTAGTCACTTACTTCAGTCAACTGTTCTAAACTAGATTTTGCAAAATATTCCATACTGTTTAAAGGTACTGTTTACACATGAACTGATGTATTGTGAAACAAATCCGTAACGTTGAAAAGATTGTTGTCATGAGTTCAATAAATGATGAAACTCAGTGAAAATTGGCGAATTCTTAACAAAATTTTACACCAAAACGCAGCTGTTCACATGCACGATATTTGCACATGCTTTTCAACAATCTGATACATGGCCCTCGTGCAATTCATCTGCATAAGGTTTGCAGTTAGTTCCCCCAAGTTAGGGGAGAAGTTCATCTTCGATGTAACCACATATATATATATATCAGACAATAAAGGTATAGTTTTTGATGACGTAACAAGAATGACGTGCTTGCGCCAAGTGAGTCTAAACCATTTTTTGATGTAAGCGACGGGTAGTATATACAGAAGTTGCACCTTCTTGAAGTCAATGTCACAACGAGTTACATAATTATACCAGTATTTACGACATAACGCTTGACTACTCAGCTTCACCCCGTGACACGCTGATATGTTTACACCACGTTGTCAGGTTGATTGTACCAGCTGAAGGTGTCAAAGAGTTAGCCCTGTGCGAGCATTCTTAATTTAGGCCGCAACGTCGGTTTTCTACCTTAAATTAAGACATTATTAGCACTGCATTTTAGAAGGTTTATTATAATTGTTTCGACCATGTCGTTTATAGTTCAGGGTAAACGATGTGAAAGACGTTGTCAACATAATACGGTCTAAACAACCCTGAAGTCATCACAACGAGTTACATAATTATACCAGGATAACATGCCGGTCACCACGATGTCCGCCTGACACCGAAACAACGATGTGAAAGACGTTGTCATCTCGACACGTGCCACATGGGGAAACATCAACTTAATATTGCTTTTAACTAAGTAATGCTCCCCAGAATAGCCACGTGCCATTTCTGGCAGGACTTAGGTTTTATAGGTTGGAATTCCATCTTAAAGATTAATTTGAAACTCAAATTTAAAATAGTTCGGTAAAACAAATAACAACGAAGCCCGCCCACCAGGAAATATCGGGACCGGTGAAAGCATGCACTCCACAGCTGCACCTTCAAGGCTGGCATGTGATTGCACAATCTCACGTCATGTACATGCAACAAAACTAGGACGATAATTGTACACCCCATCAGGCCGCCTGGAGACCGACTATTAGTCCTAATTGTCTTCATAACAAGCATTTAAATTACACAAAAACTCGCGACATTTAGGATGAAATCATAATGCATAATACTTGATTAATCACTTCATTCGTATGTCAATGTCATCGTCAAGTCTACATCTCTCTCTGTGACCGAGTACGGCCCACACACGATGACACACAACGATACACACAGTGACTGAGTATGGTGCACTCAGTGACACACCACGGTACATATGGTACACACAATGATTGAACATGGTACACACAATGACTGAACAAGGTACACACAATGACTGAACAAGGTACACACAATGACTGAACATGGTACACACAATGACTGAACATGGTACACACAATGACTGAACAAGGTACACACAATGACTGAACAAGGTACACACAGTGACACCACAGTACACACAATGACACACCATGGTACACGGTACACACAATAGTACACCACAGTGCACACGTCACTGAGCAAGGAGTTCACCTGTTTCACTTTGCTGATCGTCTCCTCCTCGGTGCCGTCGTAGGGCGTGTCCGTGTTGAACCATTCCGTCCACGTAGACTGGCCTGCAACATACAAAAGAAACTATGGTTAGCTGAACTAGTTGCCGTTCATGTATTCAGCGCTAAGCCAAGCTACACCTCGATACCAGGAAGATGTTGCAGGGGTTCCTTGTTCCGAATACAGTCATGTTGTGCACTGCGCACCGCATGTGTATAGTTGTTAGCGGTGTATTTGTCTGTTGTTTGCAGTGAAAACAGAATTTTATTCAACTTAGGATAAAAGTTGTTTAACAAACGATCATAGTTTCAAGTCGCTATTATTGGTTTGTATTACAAGGGGGTAAGCGCAGTAGTTGTAACAGTAAAACAAATGCACGTGCGGTTCGTGATGAGCGTTAACTTAGACCAACCCTACATGTTCCCGGAGTTTCATTTAATGTGCATACCCCCTTGTAATACAAACCAATAAGAGCGATTTGAAACTATGACCGTTTGTTAAACAACTTTTATCCTAAGTTGAATAAAATTCTGAGATTTAAATGTTCAATTGGCAAAGTCAAATTGTGAGGATTCGCAATCTTAATTTCCCTTTATTTGATTTACTTTTTTGTTTAAAGTGAAATTCATCGGTACGTTTTCACCGCAAATAGACTATAATGCTCGTAATAACATCGTAGTTCCGCTTTGACGACCTAGCCATGTCACCAGAAGTACGTTCGTTATAACATACGCATTACTGAGTCCTTTATAATAAACATACGTAATAACAATAGTGTAAACAAAAACAAATACAACGTTATCACACAGGTTATACAGTTTATACACCACCATCATTCATCATACCTTAGCCAGTGTTAACGTATATCCAGCTCAGTCGGTGTTAACGTATATCCAGCTCAGTCAGTGTTAACGTATACCCAGCTCAGTCAGTGTTAACGTATATCCAGCTCAGTCAGTGTTAACGTATATCCAGCTCAGTCGGTGTTAACGTATATCCAGCTCAGTCAGTGTTAACGTATATCCATCTCAGTCAGTGTTAACGTATATCCAGCTCAGTCGGTGTTAACGTATATCCAGCTCAGTCAGTGTTAACGTATATCCAGCTCAGTCAGTGTTAACGTATATCCAGCTCAGTCAGTGTTAACGTATATCCAGCTCAGTCAGTGTTAACGTATATCCAGCTCAGTCAGTGTTAACGTATATCCAGCTCAGTCAGTGTTAACGTATATCCAGCTCAGTCAGTGTTGACGTATATCCAGCTCAGTCAGTGTTGACGTATATCCAGCTCAGTCAGTGTTAACGTATATCCAGCTCAGTCAGTGTTGACGTATATCCAGCTCAGTCAGTGTTAACGTATGCCCAGCTCACAGTCAGTACGTATATCCAGCTCAGGCTCAGTCAGTGTTAACGTATATCCAGCTCAGTCAGTGTTAACGTATACCCAGCTCAGTCAGTGTTAACGTATATCCATCTCAGTCAGTGTTAACGTATATCCAGCTCAGTCGGTGTTAACGTATATCCAGCTCAGTCAGTGTTAACGTATATCCAGCTCAGTCAGTGTTAACGTATATCCAGCTCAGTCGGTGTTAACGTATATCCAGCTCAGTCAGTGTTAACGTATATCCAGCTCAGTCAGTGTTAACGTATATCCAGCTCAGTCAGTGTTAACGTATATCCAGCTCACGTTAACGTATATCCAGCTCAGTCAGTGTTAACGTATATCCAGCTCAGTCAGTGTTAACGTATATCCAGCTCAGTCAGTGTTAACGTATATCCAGCTCAGTCAGTGTTGACGTATACCCAGCTCAGTCAGTGTTAACGTATATCCAGCTCAGTCAGTGTTAACGTATATCCAGCTCAGTCAGTGTTAACGTATATCCAGCTCAGTCAGTGTTAACGTATACCCAGCTCAGTCGGTGTTAACGTATACCCAGCTCAGTCAGTGTTGACTTATACCCAGCTCAGTCAGTGTTGACGTATATCCAGCTCAGTCAGTGTTAACGTATATCCAGCTCAGTCAGTGTTAACGTATATCCAGCTCAGTCAGTGTTAACGTATATCCAGCTCAGTCAGTGTTGACGTATATCTAGCTCAGTCAGTGTTAACGTATACCCAGCTCAGTCAGTGTTAACGTATATCCAGCTCAGTCAGTGTTAACGTATATCCAGCTCAGTCAGTGTTAACGTATATCCAGCTCAGTCGGTGTTAACGTATATCCAGCTCAGTCAGTGTTAACGTATATCCAGCTCAGTCGGTGTTAACGTATATCCAGCTCAGTCAGTGTTAACGTATATCCAGCTCAGTCAGTGTTAACGTATACCCAGCTCAGTCAGTGTTAACGTATATCCAGCTCAGTCAGTGTTAACGTATATCCAGCTCAGTCAGTGTTAACGTATATCCAGCTCAGTCAGTGTTAACGTATATCCAGCTCAGTCAGTGTTAACGTATATCCAGCTCAGTCAGTGTTAACGTATATCCAGCTCAGTCAGTGTGTTAACGATACCCATATCCAGTCTCAGTGTTAACGTATATCCAGCTCAGTCAGTGTTAACGTATATCCAGCTCAGTCAGTGTTAACGTATATATCCAGCTCCAGTCAGTGTTAACGTATATCCAGCTCAGTCGGTGTTAACGTATATCCAGCTCAGTCAGTGTTAACGTATATCCAGCTCAGTCAGTGTTAACGTATATCCAGCTCAGTCAGTGTTAACGTATATCCAGCTCAGTCGGTGTTAACGTATATCTAGCTCAGTCAGTGTTAACGTATACCCAGCTCAGTCAGTGTTAACGTATACCCAGCTCAGTCGGTGTTAACGTATATCCAGCTCAGTCAGTGTTGACGTATATCCAGCTCAGTCAGTGTTGACGTATATCTAGCTCAGTCAGTGTTAACGTATACCCAGCTCAGTCAGTGTTAACGTATATCCAGCTCAGTCAGTGTTAACGTATATCCAGCTCAGTCAGTGTTAACGTATATCCAGCTCAGTCAGTGTTAACGTATATCCAGCTCAGTCAGTGTTAACGTATATCCAGCTCAGTCAGTGTTAACGTATATCCAGCTCAGTCAGTGTTAACGTATATCCAGCTCAGTCAGTGTTAACGTATATCCAGCTCAGTCAGTGTTAACGTATATCCAGCTCAGTCAGTGTTAACGTATATCCAGCTCAGTCAGTGTTAACGTATATCCAGCTCAGTCGGTGTGAACGTATATCCAGCTCAGTCAGTGTTAACGTATATCCAGCTCAGTCAGTGTTAACGTATATCCAGCTCAGTCGGTGTTAACGTATATCCAGCTCAGTCAGTGTTAACGTATATCCAGCTCAGTCAGTGTTAACGTATATCCAGCTCAGTCAGTGTTAACGTATATCCAGCTCAGTCAGTGTTAACGTATATCCAGCTCAGTCGGTGTTAACGTATATCCAGCTCAGTCAGTGTTAACGTATATCTAGCCAAATCAATGATATCCTATACTAAGCTCAGTGACGATGTTATCTATAGGGTCGTTCACATTGTTATCCTATACTAAGCTCAGTTAAGCTGTTATACTATACTAAGCTGCCACATTGTTATCCTACACAAAGCTCCACTACATTGCTACACTAAACCCAAGCACTGATATACTAATCCCTGTTATCACGCAGATATTGCAGGTTGGACTGGGATGTTTAGCAAAGACGGTCGTAGTGCACCCAGTGAGCATCCCCACAGCAACCCAGCACAGCAACACATCGCTATGTGGAGACACGTGTTGAGCTAACATCAGTGTAGCCTTTCAAGCATACAGTCACGTCTCACTGGACGTTACAGACATCTGGAGCAGTGTAACATGTGGGGAAATATACACATTGGTTCTAATACACGACACATTAGCCGACCCCTGGACCGACTTGGAGATGGTGGCGCACTTCGGGGTTGTCACTGTGATACCTGGACTCAAGCTTACTTGGTTAACGATCGTCGTTTTACTATTTGTGTCGGGTAGGAGTCTTCAACCTTTTCACTTTTGTGTACACTTGGCTTTGATACTACTGATAATCCCGCTACCACATTAATACCACGTGTGATTCATATTGAACCTATGACTTATAACACTTCTGATTACAGTAGCTAGCACTCACGTGCACATAATTAACACGAAACATGATATTTGTCATAAAAACGGAACCAGCTTCTCAGCATCCATAGATGTGAATTATGATGTAACAATAGATGACCATACGCCAGTACTACAGTGTAGCAACTATTAAGACCATACCTGTAGGAGTTGTGTTCATATCGTCTGTCAGCTTTCCTAGTCACTAACAAGCAAACTACCAGATCATCCACCTAGATACACAACAGTATATATCCAGCACGATGTGACGGTGCTCCCCGGGTGTAGGTAGGTCTGAATCACGTCTACTGTCGCAGGCCCTATACCAGCGGGTAAGGGTGCACTGGGGCGTGTAATATGGGTCTGTGATAGCCCGGGGCTGCAACGATCTACAGCTGACCAACCTCTTCCGCGTCATACTAGCATCTTTAACTATGATTAATCAGTGAGTTATTTAGCGATGCCAGGGGATGCAGATAAAGATTTGACTGACACCAGGCCCAGGAAGTGATTTATGAAAGGGGCTCGTTTTGTCGATATACCTGCATTGTGACTATTCATGTCTAACCACGTGTCAGTCCATCAGCTCTCTGAATATGAGACTGTGGAATGGGGTGGACTACAGCTGGAGGCACTAGTCTATTTGCAGACCCACGGTTCCCCGTTTATTGTTATAAGTAATTATTAAGCCTTATATAGAGATAAGGTGGGCGCTCCCCCAGTGTTGTGAACACTGGCGCTGCAGGTAGCCGTCGGTGGGCACGATCCAGGTTGACACTTCACCTATAACTAGACTCACATTATCCACAATACTTCACAGGACCCTACTGACCCAGAATAACGACTTCAAAGACTGGACGTAATGGCATGGTGTCATTTAAGGTACACCATTGTCGCGTCTTCCATGTACGGCCAAACTGACAGGCTTTATGAAACTAAAAGATAGTGAATTCCAAAACATAGGTTACAT